GTTTCTCTAACTGAAAAAAATATTCCTTTTATTATTTTCAGGACCAATGGAATGACTTACCGGCTGGTACCGGAGGAGCAGCGGCTAATGATTATTTCCATTACTAACGCGCATGATATATTTTGGCTCAAGCAAAAAAAATAAATAAATTGGTTCAGTATTATATGTTATTATATTATTATTATTATACGTTATTATATTATAAGTGTAGTCTTCGAATAGTGCTTAAGATCCCATATTAAAATAAGGAATTATTCTCAGATCGGCTCGTAAGATTGTTCACCGAAAAAACAGAATAAAAAAACGTTTTTTTTTAATAACAAAAATAGCAACGTGTAAACGACTTTGGTGATTTGGGAGACAACGCGAAACAGTCTCTAGACTGTTTCAAGATTGGCAACTGAAGATAAGAATTTATTTAAATTCTTTCAGTTTCACGCGGGTCTGTGAAATAACTTATGTAGTTCAGAGCCTTTGTATCAAAGTTAGAAATGTATTTCATTTCCGAGTTAATAATGACAAGCACGCATTAAAATTGTGGGTAAAATTTCAAGCAACGTCGTCAGGATTGCTTGGAAACTAAGTCAAAGCCCAAGTGCGAATATAAAGAACCAAGAAATGCTTGTCCTTTTCTAAAGGGAGATTATTTTTATAATAATAAATCGAAAATTTAGATAATTGAACAAAGAACGTTGCTATGTTAATAATGCCTCTGATGCCACATTACCATTTGCCGTTTACTAATAGCTAAAACAGAGTTTTATAGCAAATTCTATAATGGGCAGTAAGCTTATTAGAAATAGGTCAATATTGTTGAAGAACTCAGAGCGAGATATTATTATATTGTTAGCAGCAGAAGAGTATTTTTGTTAATTATATTTCGTGTGCTAAGAGACATGACTGTTTCCATTATAGAAGTATGAACATTTTGCAATTAAAAGCGTTATTATCCTCATTTCGAGACTGACTTTCATTGTTGATAGCCTTTATATTTGGACTCAGTATTTTGCGAGTTGTGACGTTGTGAGTTGCTAGTCACGAGTTGCGATTCGCGAGTTGCTAGTTGCGAGTTGCTAGTTACGAGGATGAGTAATGGGAAGTTGACAAGCTGCAGTCTGTCTTTTTAGTCAATTTAAAGGGTCAAGTAGTTACATCCGTTTCGAAAATTTATTGCTTCGTAAAAGGTACATCTAGCTTGTGACTAGGAAAATAAGGTGCTGTCGAACGATCGCGTACTTGGCCCGTCACAAGCTAAAAAAAAACAAAAACAGACGCTTTCTCCAGTTGGGTGTCAAGCGCAGGACGTTCAGCATTTTCTCTCGCGAATGCTAACTTTTGCGTAAAATCCAGTGTCTGTTAACGGATCGAACGCCTGGGTACTAAACGGGATACACCCGAAAATGTAAATAATCGTTTATTTTACCCTAGCGTTTATTTTCTTTTGCTAAATCCTCTCAGTTATACACTCTTCCATCTGCGCCTGCTACATTTTCTGCCGGCCGAGTGCGCCACCGTTATAATAAGCACCGATTTACTGTGTGATATTGTGTGTTACGACTCTTTGGACTCTTTGGTCTCAACCAAACTGTTATGATTGGAATCCCATTATTCCATATTTGATAAGAACAACTGAATCAACGCACTGCTCTTTACTTATCATTAGTGTTTGGCAAAAGAAAAACACCTATTGTCGTACTAAAAATAGTGAAGCAACAGGGCCAGTCTCAATAGGAGAGATCGCAAAAAATCCGAGGAATTTTCCGTAGGTGCTTGCTACTCTATAAAGTGTTTCCGCAGCGGCTGTGTTGGAGAATTAAATAAATAATAAAAATGAATATACAAAAAATTGGAGCGATTTTCAACGTCAAAAAAAAAAAAAAAAAAAAAAAGATACTCTAACAATCTAAATTGTGAGGGGTCATCATCATTAACAATTCAAAAATACTTAAAACATTTCAATAATGTACGTTATTATTCATTCAAAATATTTCCCCAATTCTGATTTTGGCTAAAAGCACACGCATAATTCACCATAACCAGTTACTGCTGACCAATTTTGGAAGAATTTTGTGTTTAACGAGGAAATGACGTCAAGAATGCAGCCTTCTACAGGTTAATGCACCGTTAACCGAGAAGACCTGGGGACGAGGTTGAGTTGTTTTCGTTGTGAACCTAAAATGGCGGACACTTCACTCGTTTCAAAAGTAAGAATTACACCTGGAACTGGCGAAATAATGGCTAAAAACATAGCAAAAACAGCTAGCAAGAAGACAATTTGGAGCGCGACATCTGCTATTTGGAGAATATTTGCGGAGCTGGACAAACCTAAACGTACACTATCGAAGATAAACTTAACATCGATGTAGGTAAGCATGTTTTAGCTATGTTTTTAAACTAGGAATTATTTTGAATGAATAATAAAGCAGGGTGTTATCCACCAGGGTGAAATAATATAGCAGGGTGTTATCCACCTCGGCCACCTCGGCCTTCGGCCTCTGTGGGTAACACCCTCTTTGATCTGCTTAATTCTTCATATCCTACGAAAGCCGAATTCATTAATTGCTAACTAATAAACGGAAAAATGGACAAAAAAAGAAAATGCCTTTCAGCGAGAAATTGCATTTATTAGTATTTAAATAATAATAGCACATATGGACGTACTACCAAAGAACATTGATACTGAGGAATTGCTAGAACCATTAGAACGCGTTATTAGTGATGCCCTAATACCATCAATTACGGGCTATACATGCACAACGAGTGAGCGAGAACTGCTGGCACTGACAGTGAGGAAGGGGGAACTGGGACTAGAAAACCCAGTACGTTGAGCGAGCAATTTGAGCGAGCTGGATTCGAACACGCAATGTCTCTTCAGGTAACCGCCCCTCTTGTCGCGCAAATCGTATCCGAGGCGCATGAGCCTCCAGATGATGCTCTGATAAGATCTTTGTGGTTAACCACGCGCAGAGAGAGAGAAGTGAGACTGGACAATAAATCAGAATACCTGAGGAACTCCCTACCCGAGAAGACCAAGAGAGCGGTCGATCTCGCAGCAGAGAAAGGTTCTTCAAGTTGGCTGACTGTCATCCCGGTAAAGGAAATGGACTTAAATCTCAACAAGAGAGAATTTAAAGATGCAGTTCATCTAAGGTATGACCGGCAGATAAGTGACGTACCAAATGTATGTGTCTGTGGAGAGCCCTTTAATGTCGATCATGCAATGATTTGTAAACGGGGTGGGGGGAGGGGGGGGGCTTCATTATACAACGCCAAAACAAGCTGCGGGGTCTTAAGGCGCAGATGCTTAACCTGGTCTGTCATGATGTTGAAATTGAACCTGTTCCGCAGGAGATTACCGATGAGTCGTTAGCCAGAGGGGCTAATACAGCCCCCGATGCCCGGCTTAATATTCATGCACGGGGTTGTTGGTCTAGACAGGGTTCCACATTCTTTGGCGTACGGGTGTGCCACTCAAATGTGGAAGCTTACAAGGACCTCACCCCTCAGCATGAAAACGGGAAGAAACGTTTGTACGCAAGCCGAGTTATGGAGGTGGAAAAAGCCACGTTCACGCCGCTGGTGTTCACCACTACAGGTGGCATGGCACCCGAATGTCAAGTCTATCACAAGCGACTAGCGGAACTCCTGTCAGCCAAGAAAGGCGAGGACTACTCGACTACGATGTCTTGGATAAGAACCAGAATCTCATCTGCCATTCTGAGAACATCCCTCTTAAGGGTATCGCGTTCAATGAGGAGAGTAAATCTCAACCTAAAAGAGATGGACTTTGACATCGAAAGAGGACTTTTAGGACGCTAGATTCTGATTTAGAGAAAAGATCTTTTAATATCGCATTTTCAATTATTACTACTATTTATTATTATTCATTCAAAATATTTCCCCAATTCTGATTGGCTAAAAGCACACGCACAATTCACCATAACCAGTAACTGATGACCAAATTTGGAAGAATTTTGTGTTTAAAGAGGAAATGACGTCAAAAATGCTGCCTTCTACAGGTTAAGGCGCCGTTACTGAGAAGACCTGGGAACGAGATTGAGTTGTTTTGGTTGAGAACTTGAAAAATGGCGGACATTTCGCTGGTTTCAAGAGTAAGAACTAGGTGAAAAAATAGCTAAAAACATGGTAAGAACAGCAAGAAGACAACTCGAAGGGCGACATCTGCTATTTGGAGAATATTTGCGGAGCTGAACAACCCTAAACGTGCACTATCGAAGATGAACTTAACATCGATGGATCGATGGAGGTAAGCATGTTTAGCCATGTTTTTAAAACTAGGAATTATTTTAAATGAATAATAAAACAATTATTGAATTCGGCTTTCGTATCATATGAAGAATTATGGAGATCTCGGAGGGTGTTATCCGCCTCGGCCTGATAACACCCTCCTCGATCTCCATAATTCTTCATAAGATACTCAGCCTCATTCAACAGGCCTTTGGTCGAGTGGGGAACTCTATTTTTTTCCCAAACAGAGAGCCTGTTCACAGGCTAAAAGATGTTAAATATTGGTAGTGATTTACCGCAAAGTCTGTTGTAACTGTTCACTAGTCTTAAAGCCAAACTGTTAGCGAGATTCCGGATTCCTAGGGCTGAATTCCAGATATCAATGTTCAGGATTCCGTTTTCCACCAGTAAAAATTTCCAGGATTTGACTTAAAAAACTGATAGGATTGTTGTGTAATGTTCAGGAATGTTCAAGAACATACCGTATTGTGCTTAGTCATCCTTGACTGGTTTATGAATAGAATCCTTTGTAATCATACGGAACATTCCAGACCAAAAATAGGCAAAGTCTATACCCGCTTTCAGACCGAGTGCAAAAACCTTACCCTTTGCTTTGTGGCGGCACATACCCATATGGCTTATATAAGGGGGTTAGCCCTAGGCCGCAAAAGCATTTACAGACGCTCATCGAGAGACGCGATTCTTTGGAATGGCGCTATCTAATTTCTGAAATAGAGATACGGGAAAGATAGACTAGACAAGACAAAAGACAGAATCCAAAAAGCGTTGCAGGTAACTTTTACCACACAAAAACTCAACAGTTTTAAAGTTGAAACCCATGATTCCTACGGCAGCACAAGATTTAACAGCGTTATAGTTGAGCCCAGCCTCCCTCCCCTCTATAGTCTTCGGTTATGTAAGGTGTTATTTATAGCGCATAGCTTCCTCTCCGCCACGGTTTCTCTAAACCTGCGTTCGAAATTACTTTGAATCTCTCTAATTTAGTACAGTCTAGGAGGACATTCTACTTCATCGTTAAGGTAAGTTGATTTAAGCTCGACTGTCTTCGAAAGACTAGGTTTCAGATCAAAGAAAGAGATTAATTTTTCTTTTTATTTAGTTTGTCTACTTCCTGGCTACAATGCAAGTCTAAGTATTTTATCGTTCCCTTATTTGCTTCTGATAAACACATAAATTTTAACATTTTATCCACTTGGTACAAATTCCAAGTTAGGTTTCCCTGAGAATTCGAAATGCCTGCCATCGAACGATTCCGTCTTTTAAAGGATCATTTGTTTTGCAGTTCTAGACGGGATGTTACTAAAACGGGGAACGGGGAGCGGGGAGCGGGGAGCGGGGAACGGGGAACGGAAGTCTGGGAACGAGTTGTCAGCGGAAACCTCCATAAAAATCCAAAATGGCCGGTAAGGATCAAGAACGCGGTAAGATCGATGATAGAGAAGCGTAGAAACAACACTTAAGGTCGCTATCTTACTAATGAACTATATGCTCATGAGGTGCTTGAAATAATACGGAGGTAATAATGTCATGACATTTTTCACCTTTCTGCGTTTTACTAAACAACAAAATATGCTCCAACAGCAGTTGAAAGAAGCTACAGTCGGGACAAAAACTCTCAAAGCACAGCCATATTTGGAACTCAAGCAAATCTATACTGGGTCTAACTCACAAAGCAATGAACTACTTTTGCTTGACGCTTTTCGTAGGGTTTTGGCTTAAATACATGCCTAAAGATAACGTAGATCGAAGCAGCCAGGTGTATTTCCTCGACAGTAATAGTGTAGCAGTGGAGCTCCAACCTAGCTGTAGCGTTTTTTCAAGCCCAAATTAAAACATGTTGGCGATGAGATAAAACTGTAAGTCTAATAATATTATATTTACAAACCTATGATGAGAAGTAAGTGCAATTGTATTATTTGAAAAGATAAGATGGATCAGGTTATTTAATACATCAATAAAAAGGCAACTTTAAACATATTAACGGGCAATGTGCCAGGAACATCAATCATACCTTGGTCTTAAAGATGTCAGTTGTTTCAAAGCAAATGGCTATGCTGTGGTTTTATTTTATTATAACCTAGGTTTAAATTTTGCTTCCCTTTGTTTGGGAATGCGGTAATATGAATTTTATGATTATGAGTTCAAAACAAAGAGAATAAAATTCAAACTTAGGATAAAAGTGACCACAACTGAGCTGCAATATTAAGTGTTGCAAGTATACGTGGGGGAAGTACTTTAAAGTCTTTGGTTGGAAGGTACTTTCTAAAGGCTAACTGTTAAAATATGCATGGTAAGTATACTTCCTCTGTTTAGCCCTCTGAATGCTTTTTTTTTTCTAGGGGGACTCCTTTAATGTTTTTGCAGAGGGGAGCTCTGCTTCTCTTTAATGAACATTATTTTTACTGTGGAAAAAAATATTTCAAGCTCAGTGTAAAACTGAATGTATCAGTGACTTAAACCAGTTAATATTGTCAAGCTGCTTTATTAGCTTGATTCAGTAATATTGCAGTGCACCTACCATCAAGCATCACATCATTAATGTTGCAGAGGTTGGCAGCTTATTAGAAGGTGGTTGATAAGCCTTCAAGCAAGCTGTCTGTAGTTTTGGAAATAAAGAAGTCTAAGGTCTCACACAAGTGATGGGAAGCAAAAGATTGGAGTGCCGATATGTTTTTCAGTAAACACGCGCAACTGTATGTGTATAGTGGCCACATTACGCATACTCAGTGCATGTAAAATAACACAATAGATCTTGCTACCCATTTTCCCTGATTTTATTTCCCCTCCAGGGGACATAATTTCTTTTAACATATCGGGGTTTTCAAAAAAGGGCAAAGAAGCTTTTAAATGAATTTTAATTCATTTAATGAAGCACAGTATCAAAGAAATTAAAAAGAAGAATCAGACTAGAGTAACAGTAACCCAGAGGGGAGGGGGGCGGGGTACTCACCAAAGAGGCTCTGCCCCAGGGACCAACCCTTTACCCTTTGTATGTACCATTTTAGACAGAAAAGGTACCCCTTTTGCACACCCTCTAGTGACAAATGGTACCCCTTTCACAAACCTAATTTTGAATGCTGCATCCCTTTTTAACTGCTGTAAATACATCATCTATACAATATGAATAAATAGCTAAAACAGGTTTTCTTGTCTCTCGCATCCATAAACTGCATCTGTGACTGATCTCATTTTGGTCCCTTTCATATACTTCAACTATAAAAACCCCTTCCCTTTCATGTACCTGAAGCCTGAAAAAGGCTTCAGGCTCTGTTTAGGCCATTATAGTACCCCCTCCTCCTGCACCGAGAAAAGTACTTGATACAGCGATATTGTATGGTATGAATTGCACCAAACGTTTCGTGCCCATGAAGAGGTACTTTGATTATTTTACAACATTTTTCTTCAAAAGGGAGGGGTTTGGGATCTCATTCTTAGGGGGGGCAGGGGGTTAATTGAGGATCTGCAGTGAGTGAGAATGTTGCATTCAATGCAATCCAATCATGGTTTTGATTCAGGAAAGGGTCGTCAGGGGTATTTCGCAGAAAGACAAATGGCCACTGTACGACTTTGAAGCAGTTACTGATTAGGGTGAGGAAAATGAGTGAATTAGGTTCCATTAGGGTCATTATACTGGTCTATACTGGGCAAACTGACGTGAAACAAATTGTTTCACAAAGTAATAAAATGATATTATTTTATTTTCATAGATCAGTGAAACACTTCAATATCGTGAATGCTTGCAGTGTAGTGGATCTAATAATATTAAAAGCAGAACCAGATTGTTAAAGTAGTCTAATTATGTGATGACGTGGTCAATAACATTTTTCAAAGCAGTCATCTCTATCAAAGGAAATAGAAGAAGTCTGCACACAAGCTACCTGACTACTTCGATGTATGTTATCTATCATGGAAAAGTAGTTCATTGCTTTGTGGGTTAGACTCAGTATAGATTCGCTTGAGTTCCAAATATGGCTGTACATGTGCTTTGAGACTTTTTTTCCCGATTGGCTTCTTTCAACTGCTGTTGGAGCATATTTTGTTTCCTACGGATAATTGTTTAGTAAAACGCAAAAAGGTGAAAAACGTCATGAAGTTATTACCTCCGTATTATTTCAAGCACCTCATGAGCATATAGTTCAAGTAAAATAACGCCGTTATCAGTTAAGTTTGTTTCGACGGTTCTCTATCATCGATCATCGGCCATATTGGATTTTTATGGAGGTTTCCGCTGACAACTCGTTCCCAGACTTCCGTTCCCCGTTCCCCGCTCCCCGCTCCCCGTTCCCCGTTTTAGTAACATCCTTCTAGACGGAAGCTCGTAACGTGATCTGGATGACTTTCATTTTTTGATTTTGAAATTGCATCCTGCTTCTTCCAATTACAATACAACACCGGATTAGTCGCCTGCATCCTAGTTCTGGACCCCAATATAATAAAATAACAGAAAAAGCTTTTGATATATTTGGAATTAACAAGGGTTTGAAGGAAAACATACTCTCAATCGCATCGAGAAGTGTTTTTTTTTTTCTAGAACAACTGTATCATGCCCGGAGGAGATGGTGGAGGGGGGTCTGGGGGGGGGTGTTAGAGGCACTCAAAGAACGTTTTGGTAGGTGAATGGCGCCGAGGCCTAGGCAACTATGACCCTTTCTACTACCCTGTTTGACCCTATTTAGACCGGGCTTTATGCGTCTTTCGACCGGGGGTGGTGGAGTCTCCGGAGTTCCCCCTTTATAGTTAAAAAAACCGCTCGTGATACGGCCATCAAAATCGCACAACGCATTTCCAACATCCAGGCGAAATAAACGGAGAACCACTTGAAAAGCTGTACAGAGCAATATATTCAGGGATCATCTTTCCCTATTCCTCGGCATAAAATGAAAGACAAGTTTCCCGTCTCAAATTTTCACAGCAACAAAACTTTAATGCTTTAAAGAAAGGAGACACAATTACTAATGGAAGAAGCAAGACGGCTGTTTATCGTTTTATTTATTTCGTTGTTTTACTCATTGTTCAGGGGCAAGTTCTCAGCACCACTCACCTTCCATCCCTAAAATCTATTCTAATCGTCTCATAATCACCAACTTTCAAACTCTTTTTAACGCTTCCGGTCCAGAAAAGACTCCCTGTTCAAGACGCTAAATGGCTGACTGATCAATCACCTCTAGGCCAAGGGAGTGAACCCCACCCCCACCCTAGTAGAGAATCTGAAAGATTTATGATCCTAAACTATTCAAAACTGTGATATGTATGATTATGTTAACATTTAACATAGAGCTGACAAAAAATTGTTTGGTCCATGAAGAGAAAATTAAAGTTTATTCGTCGAATGGCCCCTGCTCTCGGCTTACACCCACAATCACCTTTTCACCTATTTCGAATTTTTGAGAGGGCTATCTTATGAATGTATCATAGATGACCGTCGTACATTAAGAAAACATAGTTTGAAATCCTAAATTGAACGTTGTTTTTCCACAATAAGGAAAGATGTCTGCAACTGCTGGTTCAGCAATTGCACAGGGGCCGTATGTTGGCCGAATCGATCTGTGGTCAGAGTGGAGGCCTACACTTGAGAGGCCACTGTGGCTGCTTCTCTCAGGAGCTACCGATCCACCTAAAGAAATTGGAATTTCTAAGAGAAGAACTCGGGATGCACAAGGAGATAGCAATGGTACATTTTTAGCTGGTGTGACTCGTGATTTAGTTAACATGGAAGACGTGGTTGGAACAAAACTGTTCAACACAGTTAAAGATCTTTATCTAACTAAGAAGCTAGCCCTCCGACATATCAAGAGGTTCTTCAAACAGTGCGAGCACACAAATGCCAAGCCTATGCTGTACTATACAGGGCATGGTGAAATTGGTACTGGAAACTGGTGCCTTGCGGATGGGACGATTAGTATCCAAGAGATTTTTGACATGATACCTGGAGACTGCTTCTTCCCAATGATCTTCAGTGATGCCTGTTACAGTGGCCACTGGGCGAATTTCTGTCTTAGAAAAGATCTTCCCGCTTTCCACTGCCTAGCAGCATGTCCGGAGTACTCAACGGCTATTGATACCAAAGGTGTGTATTTTTTGCATGCTTTTATTATAGAAAAATCCCAATTAAATTATAGAAACGTAAATAGCATTCATGATCAGTTATCTAACCTAGCACTTAAATATGAAGGCAAGACTTATCGGACAGCTAAGTGTTAGCTGTCCGATCAGCCTTGCCTTCAATTCTAAGTGTTATTTTATACTGCTGATTCTAATATACGACAAGATCCGGCTTTTCCTCGCCGCTGTTTGTCCAAGTGGTCCTTGCAAGAATTGTGCCTGTCTTAACTAGGCCTGTGCGTCGTTACCAGCTCAAAGTACTAGATCCGATCAAACAAAACTTCTGTCATTAACCTATATAAAAAAACGTCCATCGTGATTTTTTTTCTCGCTGGAACCTCGATGTAACATAGGGCCAAGGGATTGGCAATTTTTTTTGCTATACAATGCAAACCCGATATAACGAAGCTCTATGTAACGACACCCTCGGTTTAAAGAACGATTTTGTTTTCAACCCGTAATAGTAAATTATATTTGAAGAGCACTGTGGGCATATGTGACATCACTCACGTTCATTCATCTTTTTTACTTTAAACGCAATTCACTTGAAAATTTGCAACAATATAGAACTTACCATCCCTAAAACCGAATGTTTTGTTTTTGTTTGTCAGATTTTGGTATTTTTGGCGGGAAAATGACGTCACAAAGTTGCCGCCAATTTTGTTTTTAGTATTGTAGGATATCTTATGATGGTTACTGAAAGAACTCACCTCAAGTAGGTCTATCCACTCCACAGATATAGCGTTTGAAATTTGAAATTTTCCCCATTTTGTGCTATTTTACAGTGGAGAAAGCCCGATATCACGAAACCTCGTCATTATGGCGAACAAATTTGCCATTCACTTGGCCCTTCGTCATATCAAGGTTCTTTTCTTTTACTATACTAGTCTAACCTTCCCTAACGGCCACCTTTCTATACGTATTACAACGGCCTCTTTCGTCTCGGCGGACAGTCTATACATTGATTCTTGTTAGTTTAATGGGGCACTCAGTGTGGTTAAAAGCATTATAAGTTTCGTTGATTTCTACCCTTTTTCTCAAAATTCTACCCAAGATTTCATTAAATCAAAAAATGACTCAGTTACGTTAAAATCCTTAACTCAGTAATTATTTGTGAATTTTTGGATGGTTTTTCGAAAGTTCTTAATGGATAAAATTTAGGGGGGGAGATGTTTAAATCTGGGGAAAATAGGAAAATATTGGATTTGGGGGTTGTTAGAAATTAAAATATGAAGTGAATAATTTTAGTATAATTAGAAAACAATTACCAGACAGTTCACCACCACAACAAGGTGCCTGTGATACCATTAGCGAACCAACTGGTTGACGTGTATAAAAAAAATACGAAACGGCAAACTGATCCTTACGGTAAGGCGATGAAGATGTAAACAAAAGAATAAAACAAAAATATATATAGTTAAACAAATTGCCCAATATTTCGGTTTGAAAACAAACCTTCTTCAGGGGCTAACCCTATTTTATCCTTCTTTCTTTCATTGTAAATTCAACCCCAATTCCCTCAAAATTCAACTGTAATCCCCCTTAATCTCTTCTTATGTTCGTCCATGTCGTTGTTACATCAGAACTAACATTTCAACCTAGATCTTTTTATATCTGGTAAGTTAAAACATTTTTTTCGGAAATATTGCTGATGCTAAAACATTGTACAAAAGCTAAATAAAAAAAGGCAAAAAAGGCCGCTTGTGACTCTGCTTCCCCTACCCCCTCATTGAACTGTAATAGGCCACTGGAGCAGAGTCTCTTCAGAGCTCCCACCCGCACCGGTCCACACGCACGTGGGGCGATGGAAGTCCAAAATGGTAAAGTACACATATATACAAGCCGGAGGCTTGTTTTCTGGCTCCCGTTTGCGATGTGCTGTAAGAGGCGCAGCATCGGTTTGGTGTAAAAGTTATTTAGCTTTCCACGCAGCCTCAGAATGAGTAGAATGAGTCAAATACACCCAAGTGATATAGAGACCATTGCATTTTAGTATTATTTTCGGTGTATTTGTGAATTTGCTTTTATTTAATTCACCAACAATGGTCATCATCTTGGATTTTACCAAGTATAAGAAATCAGGTTAAAACCTGAATGGTGATTTTTTTGTGCCTGACTTGAAAAATAACACATAAATAAACACTTTACATGATTTTAGCCAGCAATATTTACTTTATAAAGAAGTTGAAAAAGCATATATAGCGAATGTTGCGATACTTGCTCGTTTTGTCATTTAGTACTTTTGGAGTTTTCAGTTTGTGTATGTTATCTCTATATACACTGTATATATCATCTATGATTGGATTAAAATTATGCGATACGGTAAGCATGAACTTGGTAGAATAAACATTGGCACTTCCCTAATAAAAATGTCATGTTTTACCCCTACCTCCCCATAACTGCCACCTCTCTACAACGGCCACTTTCTTTTGTCCCCATTTAGGTGGCCGTTGTGGAGAGGTTCGACTGTATTATTGGGGTAAAGAAAATCGTTCTTTATATCGATTACTTCGTTTTATAGAGGTTCGTTATATCCGGGTTCTATTCTACTGACATTCTGCAAATTTAAATTATTTGTAGATGAAGGAGGGGATCTAACACTGTATATGACAGGAAAGAAACTACGCCCAAGAACAGAGCCCATGTATAGTGGAGGAAATCTAGATGACTTCTGCATCAGTAGTGGATATGATACAGTTGGTTACACTGATTTTATCAGAAGCTATATGCGTAATAGTGAAAACATTTTGATTTCCCAGAGCATACATAATGGCTTCTTCTCAGGAATTTTTGCGAGTTCAAAACTTTACAATCCAAGACCTGGGATAGCTTGGGGAATGAGAAGAAATTACGACGACTTTCTTGAGTTCGTTAAAAGGAAACGTAAATCAGTAAATGGAAAGTCAAGGAGGATTTACTCCCTTGCATGTGACGAGAAGTTTGGATTCGGGGTGTTCTTTATGGAAGGCTACGGCACGAAGCAAGCCATAATAAAAAGTACGGGTGATGTAAGGAAACATTGGAATGACGGTAGTGAGATAACTTCGTGTGCTGCCCTAGATTCAACATTTTACATCGTCATGACAAAACACACTAAGGAATATCATGGAAAACAGCAGAGGTGGTTTACTAAAAGAACTCGGAGAGAAACTAAAGATGCAATACGGAAGGGATACCGAGAAGGAAAAGTTATCACTGGAATATGTTATGCCAGTGGGCTGAAGCTCTATTTTGTTGTGATGACAGCTTCAAGGAGGGGACAGTGCTTCAGATGGCTCGACATGACTAAAAGAGAGGCTAAGAGAGATTGGGTAGGCGAGAAATATGACCAGGGATTTCGTCCTACTATCGTCTTCAATGATCCAACTGACAATAAAACTTTAATTGTGATGACTAAGGATGGAAATAGATCGTGTTATGTAGATTGGGCTAAAATTAAATTAAGGTAGATTCTTTTAGTTTAATCCAGTTGAAGAAGATTACAAAGTTTGCATTTTTGTTATTGGTTTCGTTCAGATTTGATTTCAGTAGTGAATCCGGTAGCTACTTTCTGAAAAAGCATAATTTCTTCCCTATCGGATGGGGCAGGGGTTCCTCGTTAGTGTAGGGTTTTCAATTTGTGCCGTTTTGATATGAAAACGGGTTTAGATTTAGTCCATGCACTTTGGTGGAAGAGAGCGTTTTCACTCACATGGCCAGCATCTATGGAAATTTATTAGAACAAAAGAAATCGTTTGCATAAGAAAGGAGTTCAACTCCCAGAGGATTGGTTTGGTACACCAACATGGCCGCCATTTCATTGTTTTGAAACACCAATATGGCCGCCGTGACGTCATGTGAAAACGCTCTATAGGGTAAGGAATTGTGGTTGTGTATCAATGTGTTCGTCGTTTTAATTACAAATGAATAACAAAGAAAGTGTAATATGCGAATTCGAAATGGATTTTAAGAAATTTTTTTGTTGTGGTTTTTATCTCTGCAATAATGACATAATTTCTGTTTTATGTAAACATGAAATATTGCGTTTTTGATCAGGTCAGGTCTGAAAACGGATGTGGAAGATGACATATTTTTCTCTGGAATAGGGTCAGGATTTGGAGATTTGGGCAAATCCCCACCAAGAGTTCCCAGGAGTTCCCCCGTGTGCTGTGTCCCCCTCCCCGCTGTGAGTGCTGTTCTTGATATAATTTGTGTCGATGATGTCCACGAAGGGTTTTTTTTCAAACAACCGAATTGGTCACAAATAACTTCAACGTTTTTTGTGTTTGTTTACTTTTCTTTGTTTATTTGTTTATTGTTTTGTTTGCCATAAGTTGTACAAAGCAAAAAAATCTAATTATTGAAACTCTCATGGCGAGGAAGCCCAAGAGAAGCCACCGGGCTTATAAGGAATGGGCTCCCTCAGTTAGATAATTAGAACAAAATATTATCATAATTACACATGGGAAAATCAATGGCAGAGCTACAGTAAATCTTAAAATAAATATACTAGATAGTCGTACTAATCATAGTTCTAGGCTAAAAAAGCGAAATGACAAAAAGAAAAAAAAAATGAAATAAAAGAGCAAACGTAAAAAAGAAACACACACACACACACATACACACACACACACATACACACACACACACACACACACATATATATAAAATTATATATATATAAATTACTATTTATGATAAGAGGAATGCTTTCAGCTTACAGCAAAAGAAGCGGTACTTGTTGCATTTCGAATTTAAAAACTAAGAGAGTTGAAAAATTTAGGACATTAGAAACTGATGGAGAACTTTCTTATATTAGTCCTGCAATGTGGTAAATAAAAAACCTCCGAACGTCTAGTGCTATAAGAATGCACCGGGCGTGTCACCAAAAACATATTATTGAAGCTATAAGGAAGTAAGCCAGATCTGTATTGATACATAAATTTTCCCATTTGAAGTTTGTAGATACTCTCAAGATTCAGAATTTTTAAATTTTTAAATAAGGGGTCAGTGTGAGCATCGAAAGCACTCCTCGACATTATTCTTATGACCCGTTTTTGAAGTGTGATTAATCTTCTGAGGTTTGATGGGTACAAATACAAATATAATCAAATTTTTTCGCGTTTATTCCAAATTGCTGAAAATGTCAGATTTAGGCAAATGTCCTCGAGTTGGTTTCTTGGGGATCGTCAGGGGCACCCAAGGGGCAATTTTGGGTAAAAGACCTAAAGCCAACAACAAGGACCGAAAGCATGAATAAAGCTTTCTGAAGCCATTTTAAGCATTTTGGGAGATTGCTGGGAAGAATTTATCTGTTCCTGACTCCCAGAGAGACTGATGGAAGAGGTCCCAGCCAGCAAGGTGCACATGCAACCTGCAACCCAACTTACTGGGAAGTTTCCCAGCTAGCAGAAGTATGTCCAGACATTACTGGCCAAATTGGGTGTGGCCATAAGGCACAATTCAGACCTTCAGTGGGGGAAATGGGACGGGGAGGGGTTCCTGACATCAAATCCCCTCAGACACCCAGAATTGTCTTAGTTCCCCAGCCATACTTTCCTTCCAAGGACATATCAATTCTCCAAACTCTCCCAGCCAGCAAAAAACCTCCCTGAAGAACAGATATTTTGAGGAACAGGTCCATTGCGTGCCCCTGCAGTAAATACTCTAACTTATATTTACAGAAAACGCATTTAAATTTTGCAGTAGAAACTACCTACAGACCCATGGAACTGTTAAGGGAATAAAGATAGCCGTTGGTTTTGCAAACACATCACAAACCAATCGAAACTTTTCAGTACACGAAGTTCTACTCGTGTCATCCATCAGGTGTGAGGAAAGGCTTCATTAAAGGAAAAGCGCTCGGGCTTCTAAGGACCTATTCCTCTCAAACCACTTTTGAGAAAAATATCCAAAATTTTCGAAAAGATGCTACCCTGCCGCTATTGTGAGAAAGTACCTCTCTGAGGTAAAATTCGCCGACAGGAAAACAGCTCCTTAACAGAGAAACAAATCCGCCCGTAAAAAAAACTACCTTATTTCGTTACACAAAGTCAATACCACCCAGCGTAACCTAGCCTAACGAAAATACTAATGGGGGAATTGCGCCTTATACAAAACCAACAACAGCTAAAAGATATCTTTAAGGAGCCCCCCATATCATATCGCAAGGGAAATACACTGAGGGCCGTTTTGTTAGAACGAGGCTCTGAGGGCCAGATTACGACCAAGTGCATGAGTCGTGTGTTGCCGTCGCCAATTTTTGAACCTGGTAACCTGGGATGCGTCAAGTTTGATTCCATGCTTTCCTGGTTAAGTCACACCAAGGGAGTCAAAGTAGACCCAAGGGGATCGCAGTGTACGTCAATTTTCAGATCCCCCCCCCCCCATCCCTTGTCATCACGCAAGTTGAAAAAGCGCTAAAATTAACTTCTCATCGATACCTCCCTACTCCCACAGCATTTCATTTTCTCCCTCTTCCCTACATTTTCGCCCCGATTTCTCCCTTCTCCCTATTGCGCACCTCCCCCCCTCTTTGTCTAAGTGGCCTCAGTTACGGTAGTCGCACTGTGAAAGGAATCATCGACTTTTCATCGATTAGCCCTGGACAGTATTGAAAACAGCGCGCAGTGTTTGTTTTATATTTTTCAAACTAAATCTGTATTAGTGAAAGGGGCAAAAATTGATAAAAACTGGTCCAAACTATTTTTACACTCTCTTGGATGTAGGTTGGTCACGTGATAAATTTCTAAATCTCTCTAATGAGTGAGACCTGGGACTAGGAAACAACCAAGATGGCGCCTAAAAACGTGCTTGTTCAAAACCTGAACTTTACAATGACTTCACCGTTTGTACTGAACTTCAACACCGACACCGTGGCTTAAAACGTTTAACCATCTGGTGGCTTATTCGTCGTCGTTTAGCTCCTTTACGTGAAATGAGCTACTTCAGTTTAACGGGAAACAAGCTTTGACGCATTGCAGCATAAAACAGCATAAAAGGACGAAGTCTGTCGGCCCGGAGGATGTAAAGGTAAAGCTCGTAGAAATGTGATAGAGACTAAGATTCTTTTCTTAATGTAAGAATTTAAATTTTTCAACGGCTACATGCAGGGCTGTCAATACCCCACGTCTTCAAATAATTCCCGACATATCTAATCGAGCAAAATCGAACCAAAATTCAATCGAACCCAATCGAATGCCAATCGTTTTCGTTCGATTGGGTTCGGTAATCGACCATAATCGAACATATATTTTGCTGTGAGTTCGATTATCGAACCAATCGAACGCAATCGAACTCAGTCTGATTCGATTTTGTTTAGAATCCATTTCTTGATAAGTAAATCACACTGGAGTAATTATGTTTGTAAACCAAAACGCTGTGGCCATAATTCTTTCCAAGCCCTCAAGGGTAGCCTGTGAAGGCTCTCTTTTATACCTGCCAACTTTTTCTGAGATATAAGCGTGAGATTTTTATCCTGGGAGTGCTTGGATTTTTGAAAACGACAAGATCATTTCCGAAGATTCCCAAAGAAGTCCGAAGTCTTCTAAAGAAGTCCGAAGTCTTCCGAAGACGTCCAAAGTCTGCCGAAGGCGAAGTTATCGAGAAAACGCTTATCCACAAAATCAGAGATCGCGAGGAAGGTATTGTCATTTATTCATGTTACACATGGTTTTCGTTCCTTACATGGGTCTGAGTTAACATATTTTTGGAAATTGTGTCAAGCAAGACGGCAACAACTCACATTTTTCAATCAGGCGTGAGAAATTGGCCCGCAAGCGTGAGTCGGCATGAGATCGAAGTTTTCAACCTGTAGGCGTGAGAGTTGGCAGGTATACTCTTTTTGGGGAAAGGGTGAAAAAATCATGAGGAGAGGGAAGAGAAAGGGTGCAAGCCTGTAGACAAACATCGTGTGATTCTGGAAAATAATCCATACCCCTCCCCCCCTCCCCACAAGGATGGTCAATGGAAATTCCTATGGGATTGGTGGGCTAAAGGGTAGAAATTTCCAAGGGTTATGGGGGTACCCACGAGAAGAATTTTCCACAGGGTTACAAAAGACATGATCGATCGTACGAGACATTCTTAAGTGTATGTGGATTATTTTTTTTTGATTTGTAGCTCAACAAAAATTAGAAATAGATGCCCATTCGAGAAATAAATTTAAAGTTGTTTGTCTGAAACGTCTTCTTCTTTGCTGGGAGTTCGCTATCACCTCTCCGACGATGAACAGTCTTTAAATAAACATCATCCTTCAGGCAAATTGATCATAATTCTCGGTGCAATTCTCGAGAGGTCCCTTGCTTTTCTTGCTTCTTCGGGAGTAAATTTTAGTGCATCGATTATTTATAATTTCTTTGTGTCGAACATATATCTCGATTGTGGATTCGATTGCAGATTAGTCTGATAAAAACTTAGGCTAATCGAGAACAAA